CATCAAAAATTGGGTTAAACAAATACAATAATTAAGTAGAAATCGGTCTAACTAAGAACACGACATGCTTAACGAGAAATCCTAAATAAAAAATTAAAATAAAAAGAACTCAATATGACACCAAAGAAAAATATATCTCTTTGGAATTTTTCTCTTTGCATTCTCACCTGGTGTTTTAAACCCACTTTGGAGTCTGACTAATTCGAATTTGTCAAGACAATTTCACTTTGAATAAAATGCTTCTTACTAAAGACGATTTATTTCAGGGACGAACCTGAGATTTCTAATTAAGCATTGAGTGATACTTGCCGGTCCACCACAATTTTGCTGGTACAATTTGAAATTTTTATCACATTTTAAAATATTCTAATGAAAATAACCTCGAAAAAAATCCATAGCTGTAGGAGAAGAACATCTATGCACGTATCATATTTTTTTCAAGTATGAAAAAGTCACTCAAAATTATTAATGTGGCCCGTGTCGAATTCAGTAGTAAATATTGAACTTAATCATTTGAAATATTAGTGATAAATTCCATTTTGTTAGGGAGCGTTTTATTCCTAAATGCGGGATTCATCGTGAATCCAAATTTAATCGACCCCAATACCAATTTCACCGAATTTGGGAAAAAAATTAAAATAAATATTAAAATATTGATTGAAGAATTTTTCAACTGAAATTTAACACAAATCTTAAATTTCCAAAAATAAATAAAAATCTAACTTAGTTTAAATGATGTTGTGTCTTACTACTTTTTCGTTTTTTATAGTGTCGGGTCTATTTAATTGCTATCGCTTTTGCCTTACGTTTATATTCTGGTTTTCATGATGCTGTTATTTTTCCTATAGTATCTGTTAATGGTATTGATATTGTCTCTTTTCGTCTTCTTGAGCCGACGGTCTTTCGGAAACAACCTCTCTATTCCCTCGAGGTAGGGGTAGGAATAAGGTTTGTGTATACATTATCCTCCCCGAACCCTACTAATGAAATTTTACTGAATCGTCGTCGTTATTGTTGTTATAACTTAGTTCAAAGTGAGGTTCCCCACTCGACTTCCATTTTTTATTTTAATTTTTAATTTCGACTTTTCTTTTACATTCAATTTCAACAAAATATTTCAAACACCTACTAAAATCCTGGAATGAAATAGGAAAAAATTACTTTTAAAATTAAAAGAAAAAACCGCCACTGTTTTCACACTTTTGACGTCGCACGTGCGAGAGTTGAAAATGGCCACTGTTTTCTTTAGGGATTCAGACACGTCTTTGATTGATTCTGCTGCTCTCCTTTTACACGCAGCTCTGACTCCAAACTGTAAATTATTCAGAAAAAAAAAAATACACTACATTTCTTACACACTTCAAAGCTTACAACTTTGAGAAGAAAAATAAAAGAAAAAGAGCAATCTTTAACTTTGTTCATCTGTTCTTGAATTTGTATTTGATGATTTAATTCATGACCATGTAGATAAAGGGTGTTTGAATATACAAAAAAGTTTTGATTTTTATAAGAAAAATGAGTGTTTCTTTAAGTGTAATGACCTTTAATCTTCTTGAAGATCAGCCAGAAGACAGTCCAAATTCATGGGAAAAGAGGAAAGATTTGTGCATAAGTGTTATCACTAGTTATTCTCCTATGATTCTCTGTACCCAACAAGGTTTGAATACTGCTTTCTTTTTTTTTTTTTTTGCTTTCTATTTTTTAGTGGATCTTGATTGGTTTTGTGCTTTTTGCTCAAATGTGTGATTTGGGATTGCTTTGATTTTGTGATTTGGTTTATGGGGTTTGTGTTTTTTTGCAATTTTTCTCCTTTTGGTGTAGAACTGTAGATATAAGGAAGTATTATGAAAAATGGATGGTCTTTTGTTTAATCAATGTGTGATTTACTAATCTTTGCTTGTGTTTGTATTTAGGTGTGAAGTCACAGTTGGACTATCTTCAGCAGTGTTTGCAAGGTAACTTTTCTGATAAGTTTTTTTTCATTTTCATTATCTGTAAGAATTGGTTATTTTGCTTTTATAAAGAATTGTGTCAAATTGCCTACATGCTTGTGATCCTTAGAGTCAGATAACTATGAGACTCGGGGTAATGTTGCAGCTAATGTAGCTAAGGTCAAATTGAAGATGTTTGTTATCAACTTTCCTGGTTTTTCTTTGTTTGTGCAATATTCACAAAATGGTTGCCTGAGACAGATGTCAGTTTGACGAGGTGTCGTTGTCTGGTGCGGAGCTAGCCTTTGGGTTTGGGATTCGGACGAACCCAGTAGCTTTGGTTCCAAATGCTGCATTTGTCTTAAGAAATACAATTATTAATTTAGAACACAATAATTTAAAAAAGAGTAGAATCTCGAATCCGTAAGCTTCAAATCCCGACTCTGCTTCTGGTCGTTGCTTCGAGCTTATGTCATGTAAAGAATGTGCATCCGTATATGGAACAGACTTTAGTTGTATACAAGAGTAAGAGGTTGAGCATTTCCTAATTAAGGAGGAGCTTGTATTGGATAATTAGAAGTCTAGCCTTAAAAAATAAGTAGGTCAGATACCGATCAAAAAAATAATAATAATAAGTAGGTCAGGTAGCAAGCAATATTGCCAACTCATAAATATCATACTATTCTTGTTTTCTTCATTACACAGCACATACATTAAACAAGGATGTAGTAAGATCTGCTAGGCAGAAGACATGGAGAGGGCCTGTGGGATTGGGTAACGAGAACAAGCACGGCTTTTTGAAAGCTGCTCATGCTTTTTCAGGATAGGATATTCCTTGACGACTCTCATTTTCTTCTGAGGATTGTTAGTCTCATTTTTCGAAGATGGTGTTTTGGGAAAAAGTAACATTGGATGAACTGCAGAGTGGTATATACGATCTTGGTAAACTAGTTTTTCGGATAATCATCCTGTTCCCGCTAAAGTTAGGCCTTACAGCAGTACATCACCTCAACTTCAGTTCGTAAAATTTTGCTCGTTTGCATCTTTGTCTATTCACAACTTTAAGAATGATAGTTTAAAGAAAAAACTTGGGGGTACTACAGCTAATGTTTATTATGGAATGTTTGGTTGGAGAGAAATAGATGGATGTTTCTGGGGAATACGTGTTGTTGAATAGATTCAGGCCTCTGTTTATTCTAGCATTATGTTGATGGAGCAAGGATAAGTATATCTCCTCACCTTTTGATCTGTGCACCTGCGCGGATGAGCTAAGACTATTTGCTGTTGTGCTGACTTCTTATAAAGATAGCACGGCCACAGCCCTTTTCGTTTATCTTTTACATCCTGATTTTGTTTGGCACCTCCACTTTGACAGAAATGGAACTAATACTATCACATATCCATAAAAATGAATATTATTTATAGAAAAGTGTCCCTTTCTTCTCTGAGTAAATACAGCTCAAACCTCCTTTAGATCCTCCTTGTAGTATTTTCTCATTGCTATACAAACTCCTTGAACTGCCTTTTTGTTTTCTCAAACTCCTTTCACAATTTTGAATTCTGGTTGTACATTAGTGGAGAGGAAAGGGGAGTCTTCTCAAAAAAAAAAAAAAAAAAAACTGAAACAAAAATAAGCCGAGATAGTTATGAGGTTAATGAAGGATAGGAATCTTTATTTCGGGAATTTGGATGCAAGGCCATTAAATTATATATCACTTGGAAGATGTTGAGCCGGCAGTATTGTCTTTTTTTCTGAAGATTCCAAAGAAATGAAACAGCCTCTGAGTTGCAATCGAATTGTGTTAGTTGATATTTATCCTAAAAACTCCAGTTTTTGAGACTTGAACAATCAAAGGCTGTCAACTTAGTTAGATGTTGGTTTTACGCAGCACTGCGATTGCAAATTCTGGACGGGAGAGAGCAGGAGGCAAAGATAGGATGGTGTATTGAATAATAGGCATTACGATCGTACATATCCTATTTCTCGAGCTGTAGGCACTACATGTCCATGACTTAAAAGAATGAGGAGTATAGGGAGAAAAAAAATGGATTGAAACAAGGTGGTTCGTACATGTTATTATGCAAATTGACAACAACAACAACAACAACAACTCAGTAAAATACGCATACTTCACCCATACCCTAAGGGGGTAGAGAGGTTGTTTCCGATAGACCCTCGGTTCAAGGAGACGAAAAAGACAATATATCAGTACCATCAACAGAAACCATAGAAATAATAACAACATCTAAGTACCGGAAAATAGATGAAAAGCAATAACAGTAACACGTAAGAAAGGCTCAGTACTATGAAAAGTGGAAGAGAAGTGTGGACACAACAATAACCACTAGCAGTCTAGGACACAATCCTATCAGACTAGCCTCTCACCCAGCACGAAGTAGAAAAGAGCTCCACTAGCTCCTAACCTACAACCCTAATGCTCGACCTCCACACCTTCCTACCAAGGGTCATGTCCTCGGAAATCTGAAGCCTCGCCATGTCTTGCCTGATCACCTCTCCCCAATACTTCTTGAGCCGCCCTCTACCTTTTCTCATATTCGCCAAAGCCAACCGCTCACATCTCCTTACTGGGGCATTCGGGCTTCTCCTCCGCACGTGCCTGAACCATCTTAGCCTAGCTTCCCGCATCTTGTCATCCATCGGAGCCACGCTCACCTTCTCCCGAATATTTTTTATGCAAATTGAGATAAAAACAATAAAGGTAAAAGGAAAACAAGAGTTGAAGCTACATAATTTAAGTTGAGAAAAGTAGAGTGGCAGCCATTATCCCGAGTTTTGAAGTTGAAACAATGGATTTCTTGGTCATCGAAAAAAGACTTTCAAGTACCTTCGATCCTTCTTGTATGATTACTGAATATCATGTGTAATCTTACCTAGCTTACTTTATTCATAAAAAATAGGATGATGCATTTTAGTATTTTACAATACATTGTTCACGTTCAATATAAGGGAGTTAATGTGTCTTACTTTATTCACGGAAAATAGTATGATGCATTTTACAATTCAGTCTTCATATTCAATCTAAGGGAATTATTCAGTTGTCTTAGGAATAACAAAGGTGTATTTAATTCTTGGTTTTATTTTATTTGATAAGTGTTTTGGAACTGCATTCGTGATTTTCTTTTGTCCTTTTGAGTGTTAATATGCTGTAGAAGGAGCCAACGGTTGGTCTCTTATTTGCGAATCGTCTTATATTAGGTTATGAACAGTTTGGAATTTCAAGGAAAGGAGCTGAAGACACTTCTGATCAGCACTGTACCATTTTTTATGACAAGGACAAGGTTTTTCCCTTCTAAAGAATTATTCTTCCTTCTGTGATCGATGTAAGAGTCGAGCGAAACTGCTTTATACATGTTATCTTAGTTCATCTGATTTTGATTGAAGGTCGAGCTTTTAGAAGGGGGAACGTTTTGGTTGTCTGAATCACCTTCGGTGCCCGGAAGCATGTCTTGGGGTTCTACAGTACCGTGCACTGCGACATGGGCAATATCCTTTGATCTTTTTAACTTTACTTGTCTTTTCACCTTCATCTTTGTTCTTTTACTGCACGGAATATTGAATGTTTTGTTCCGTTGACAAGTAGTGTACACATTCCAGCTTAAAGGAGTTGAGCCACCAGGTTTTTCATTTCAGATTGTTAATACAACAATGGATGAGTTCAGTCCCCGTGCTCGAAGGCGAGGTGCTTTGCTTACCTGGCAGCATATTGCATCCTTACCCCCTAGCTTACCTGTCGTGTACTGTGGAGGATTTAACACCCAAAAGGAATCCACTACAGGCCGTTTTCTTCTTGGGAGATCTAGGTAATTGTGTCGTTGCCATTTAACGTCTACTATATACTTCTATATCACCATTACAGTACCTTGATTACTGGTATCCAGTTATTCACGACCTTGAGCTTGTAGTGACCACTTAACTGGTCGGTTTTCCTATAAACCACGTAATCCTGCCTAAAATTCAATTACCCAAACAAGGGAAATATTGCTAAAAGTTATAATTTGACAACGGTTAACTAACGAACTGGTAGGATTTTTTGCAACGCTAGGTTAATCTATCAAACATAATATGCAAATGCTTAATGTTGTCTCTACCGATAAAGTAATTGGAATATATTAATTGAGTATTGAAGGTGAAATGTAGTGTGAAATTGGTTGCTCCTCGGAAAATAGTTAAATTTAGGAAAGAGTCTAGGAAATTATTAACTACTGTATATGTAGATTGTAGTATTAGAAGTTAGAACATTAACCCCAGTGGACACATTGGTCCAGGAATTTGTCAATATTCAGTTATTGTTCTGGAACCTATGTAGTTTTAAGGTATCATATTGTGTCATGGGAAGCTTCACTTTTTCATTTTTATGACCATGGATTATTACTTTATCAGAAGAACGAAGTAAATAAACTAGCAGCGGAAGCTATAGTGTGAAATGATATCACGATCCTACTTGCTTGGTTCTATATATGAGCTAAAATGCTTAGACTAAAACACAGTTTAGAACATTAAGGAGAAATATATGGATAGCTGATATGTTCTATTTGTCAGAGAGCATGGAGTTGTCGGTGATATGCGAGACGCTTGGCCCAATGCTCGCGTGAGGAAAAATGTATCGCTCATACGCACGTACCACGGATTCAAAGGTTTTGTTATCCTCCAATTCCACTGCTATATTAATTTCCGATACATGAGAGACCTATGAAAATCACCGTTTGATTCTATCAGGTACGAAGCAGGGACCTCTTGAGTTCCTCAAGTTAGTATTCCGAGCACTTTGTCTGTGCTGGGATCGTCAAACTCAGGATCTGCATGTGGACTGGATCCTTTTCCGAGGCAGATCTCTAATACCCGTCTCGTTTGAGGTGGTGAACGACAACATCGATGGCTTTTATCCTTCGTCTCATTATCCTATATTCACTGAGTTCATGCTTCCTCGGTCAGTGAGGCTGATCGAAGCATCCCCTGAAAACGGAAGCTAAACTATTCCTTACTAAAGTTTTCTCCATTTCACTTTTGTGCATTGTTATTTATTGATTGATTTTTTCGTTTAGTTGCTGGTTTATCTTTGATGATATAAGGATCTAAGGGATGCCAAATTGGAAAGATATGGTCTTTCATTCCCCTACTGTATCAAAGTTGTTTAAAGCTCCTACTGTTCAATTCTCTGAGATAAGTTAGAATGATTTATTTGAAGGGGAGCCTCGAGCATCGGTAAAGTTGTTTCGGTGACCTATAAGTGACGGGTTCGAGCCATGGAAGAAGCCACTAATGCTTGCATTAGGGTAGGCTGTCTGTATCACATCCCTTGGAAGTAGCTCTTCCGCGGACCCTGCGTGAACGCGGGATGTTTTGTCCATCGGGCCGCCCCAAAGTTGAATAATGTATTTGTAATCTTTTCTTTTAAGTTAATGGATGTAACATGGGTGATTTTCTTGGTTTTTGAATTCCTTTTGGAACATGTTAACTGAATTTCTTGTTGTTCAGTGAACTGATGTAACGTTTCATGCAGTAAAATATGTAGATTCTATGACTTAAGACAGATTTTTTACACTATCA